CAAAGAGAATTGTTAGAGCAGAGAAGACAAAATGGGACACAGCTAGCACTAAAATGAATATATGCAGATCATGCAGCGCTTTCAGAGATAACAACGGCGCCTTCCCCTAAATAAATTTCGAACGTAAATGAAAATTATTGGTAAAAAGAAAATTATATTATTTCAGACACAAATACTATGAAAGTTAAAAACATTTAAAAAAAAAAGATTTTACCTTCGCCTCACAATAACCGACACCTTCCGATGCTGCTGCAGCCAATAGACGACGAGCTCCAGGTAAGAAGAAAGACGAGTCCGCCAAATGGGATTCCGATTTTACGGCTTTATCGGGATTGCAAGGAAGCCAATGATTCATCACACCCTTCGGTATGCATATTTTACTAATACTGTCTTGAAGTACAGTCAGCAACAGAGATATAAAACCCAACAACATCAACTCTGTATATACACATATATACATATATGTATCATCATTAGTTCATCCAAAGTCAACATTCGATATATAAATCATCTGAACTATATTAAAAAAAATAAAACCTTCTTTGATTTTCTGCAAGGCTTGATATAGTGATGCCTGGTTTTTCTTGATGAAATACTGCATGCATCATCATCATCGTCGTCGTTGTTAAAATAAATAATAATAATAATAATAATAATAATAATAATAATAATAATAATAATAATAATAATAATACTAAAATCGTCACGAAAAAAAAGAAAAAAAAAAACAAATAATGAAGATTTAGGTTACCTTTCCGGCATAATGAAGGAATCGTTCGACGAATAAAGATATAGCGACAATAATGGTGCAAACGAGAGCCACAATCCATGTAGGAGTATATTCGAAGGCGGCTCCTTCGGTGCTACCTCCTGCCATTGTTGCTCTTTCTTTCTTTCTCTATTTCTTTCTTACAATCTTTCTTTATATAGAATTATAAGTCAAGCAATTTAATTAATAAAACCGAATAGAAACTCGACTAGTTATATATAAGTACTAAATTTGAAAAACGGAATCGGTATAACGTTTGAAGAGTACTTGGTGGAGTGTTATCTGGATTGTGGGACAACTTAGTATACAGACTTCCCCAAGTAAGAAACTATAATGCATTTACTTCTTAGGAAGGTGATATATATATATATATATATATATATATATATATATATATATAGGTGAAAGTTGGTATATACATGCATACAAGTTACATACATATATATGCATATAATATGTAAGATTGTGTGATTTAGTTCTCCACATTCACATATGTGCTGGATTGATGAGAAGATGTTGATATTCGAAAAGACTTTTGCCAAGTCAACCTTCGTTACCTAGTTGTAATTTGTAACGAGAAATGGTGAAATTTTTTTATATATAAAAAAAAGAAAAAAAAAGTCTTCATTGTTTATGAGGGTGCTAATATTAGTTTAAAACTAACTGAATCTTGAATTTATTAATAATGATTAAAAAAAATATTTTGAAAATTGAAGGAAAATGTCATTTGACATGTAATATAACATAGAAAATAGTTGTTACTTGTAGATTTATTACATGTCTTTTTCTGACATGACACTTTGATAAATCAGAAGATAAATCATAGCAGAGACTTGTTTGGCTTATGCAAAAGCGATATG